AAGTGAAACCCATAGATATGTTTGTTTTACTTTTAAAGAATATTTGGCTATGACCTTATATACAATTATGTTTTGTGAGTACCACCACGGGAGTCCCACGCCTTAGGGGACTTAAATAACCATTGGCCCATGATTAACCACTTTGTGGTCCTGTATTTGTCATGGATCCATTGACCCCTGTAGTGATTGTCACTTTAGTGACCCCTGTTCTGCTCCATTATGTACTGTGGTTATAGTTGTTTACGTAATTTATGTAGTATATGATTTCCGTATTATATGTTAAATGATCTCCGTATTATATATGATGCATTTTAATATCAAACTCTTTTTAGCCAATAATTATTCATGGCCATTTTGTACCCTAATACTCACAGTATAATATTTCTTACTCTGCCATGTGCTTATAGTTGTTTACCAATTTTCAGGAAACATGCAATTCAAAAATAGCTTTTGGAAAGTCTTAGACGCGGGACTGCAGAATAGACGCACATAGAACTTTTATGATATTTTTTATATGTAAATATCGGCCTTTTGGTCAATATATTTTGTAATAAAAATAGAAGGTCCAATGATTATTTTAGTACCCTTATTTAAATATTTTTCCGCTCGCGTTTATTTATTTGTTAAAGATTTGGCCGGAGGTAACCTCAGTTACTGGCCATCACGATACTTAACCCTTGGGTACGGGGAGCGGGTTGTGACATTCATTCTTTATGTGCTCGGGTCCTTTAATTTCCCGCCTGTCTGGGTTAATCTCATCATGTCTTGTGTGACCTCTAGTTCTTTAGTTATACTGTTCAATGGGGAAAAAATTGAGGAGTTCACTCTTTCTAGGGGTATCAGACAGGGAGATCCTATCTTTTCCTACATCTTTATTCTTTGCTTAGAGTTTCTATCCGCTAGGATCTTCGAAGCCTGTGATAATCATACCTGGACCCCTATCCGTGTTTCGAGAAATGGTCCTCTCCTATCTCATCTATTTTTTGCGGATGATCTCATTATATTTGGAGAGGCCTCCGAAGCCAATTGTCATTCCATCTCTCTCATTCTATAGGAGTTTTGCTCGTTATCTGATCAAAAAATCAGTTTTGGTAAATCCAAAGTTCTTTTCTCCTCGAATGTTCAGGATGACAAGCAACAATTTCTTGCCTCTATTTTAAGGATCCCCCGTCACTAGGAATTTAGGCAAGTATTTAGGCTGTCCCATCCACCATTCCAGGCCTAGTAAAGAATCTTTCCAATTTCTAATTGATAAGATCCAATGTAAACTTGCTGGGTAAAAAAGCAAGATGATATCCTTTGCTGGCCAGGCTACTCTAATTAAAGTGGTTAATGCGGCCATTCCTACTCAAATTATGCAATGTAACTTCATCCCCAAGTCAATGGCTAATACCATTGATAAACTTAATAGAGACTTTTTGTGGGGTTCTTCCTCGGAGCTCAGGAAAGTTCATGGTGTAGCATGGGACACGGTTAGCAAACCTAAAAATTTTGGGAGGTTAGACATTAGGCAAACTTGTTTGGTCAATAAATTCTCAATGGCTAAGTTGAGTTGGCGTTTGTCGAGTGAGGACACTTCTCTTTGGGCTAAAACTCTTAAATCTAAGTATGGGAGGGGAGGAGGAGGGGGACTGTGTGAGCTTGTAGTAAGGCATCTCAAACTTGGAGGAATATGCTTAAGGGTACTGACATTCTTGAAAAAATGTCGAAAATGCTCATTAAAAATGGTAGATCAACTCGTTTTTGGTTAGATGAGTAGACTAAGTGCGGTCTTTACAAGGTTGTATTGAAGGTCCTTTGGCCCATATTGATTCCTCACTGCGGGTGTGTGACTGTTGGGTGGCTAACGATTGGGACTTTTCCCGAATCTTCTTCATTCTTTTCTCCGAAATTCTTGCTTGTAGTAGAAGCACCTCGCCGTCCTGGTTAAACTCTGGTAATAATATCCGGGTATGGAAGCATTCAACTGATGGTAATTTTTGTAGTAATTCTGCTTACCTCCTGGCTAAGGATTTTCATAGCTCTCCTCTCATTACCAACTGGAGTTGGGTGTGGGTTATCCGTGCTAACCCTCGTATCTTCCATTTTGTTTGGCGTGTTCTCTATTAAAAGCTTAACGCTAAGACCCAGCTGTTCTATAGGCAGATTGTTGCAGACAACCTCTATCCAGTCTGTAAGTGCTTTCTCGAAACCATCGATCATGTTTTTAGAGAGTGTCCCTCTGCCTTTCACTGTTGGTCTTGTATCGACATTCCCTGGGAAGTCATCCCCTCATTCTTCCTTGACCTTCATTTTTGGTTCAAGCTGAACTGTCAATCTCATATTTCTTACGCTTTTACTGTCAGTTGGGCCATCTTATTTCCTTTTGTCTGTTGGGCCATTTGGTTGCACCGAAATTCTTTTTGCTTCCAAACCAATCCAACTCCTTTTAGGGCTTCAGTAGTGCTAGCCAAAGCTTTAGAGTGGCAGTACATTACTGATACAGGCATAACCATTAGAACCACTATCAATCTCTCTATAGGTTGGAAACCCCCTCTCCATGAGACCTTCAAGCTTAACACTGATGGTGTAGCTAAGAGTCCTCCTGGTCTAGCCACTAGTGGTGGAGTTATTCATCCTATTAGTATAGCTACAGGAGGTGGAGTTATTCGAGACTAGATGGGCTGTTAGGTTACAGGTTTTGCTTGTAACATAGATGTAGCCTCGGCTATGAAGACATAATTTTGAGCCCTGAGAGACGGCTTAAAGCTGGCTGTGAACTTAAGTTTATCTGGAATTTGTGTTGAGTCAGATGCCAAAGCAGTAATCAACCTTGTTTTACAAGAACCTCCTTCAAGTCATCACTTCGGTAACCTCATTTATGATTGCAAATACCTCATGAGGGAGCTAGGGATCGTGATGGTTGATCATATCTATCAAGAAGCCAACAAGTGTGCAGACATTCTAGCGAATCAAGGCAGTCTTGCCATTGAAGGATTTCATGTTTTTAATTTTGCTCTTTCTTTTGTATTGAATCAATTGTATGACGATGCTAGAGGGGTTTCATACCCTAGAACCTTTTTATCTGTTTAATCTATATTAGCTCCCAGTTTACCAAAAAAAAGAAGAAGAGATAATTGAATATTTGTGGGGTGTGTAATGAGAAATTGAGTGTAATGAAGAATTTTTATTGTGTAAGTAGATTATTTTTTTGAATGGGTAAATTACAAATATATCCTTTGAGAATTATTTGAAATACGATTTGTCTCTTATGATTATGAAAATTACATTCTACCCATGTCCGGTCCTAAGATTTTCAGGGTCCAAAGTCAATAATCAATTAATAAATTTTTGGGACCCTTCACATTTTTTTTCAATTGAATGAAAAAAAAAAATGGAGATAAAAGACAAAAGATTTGTGTCAAAATCATAAAAAATACTTAGTATTACATTATAACAATTAATAAATGTCGCTTGATTCTCGCTCTTCTTGCATTTTTAGAAGCAAATAAATCAATCATACTTGCATAATCTAATTTTTTTACAAAATCATTTTCAATGGATAACAATGCTAATTATTTTAAACGGGTCTTTCAATTTTTTAATGGGTCAATTTATTTTAAATTAGTTTGGATCTTCTTTAATTTTTTTTTGGATTTAAAACTTACCTAATATATATTACAATAAACTATAATAGGAGGGAACCCCTTTTTTTGGGTCTATTTTCAATGCGTAACAATGTTAATTGTTTTGAATGGGCCTTTCAATTTTTTAATGAGTCAATTTATTTTAAGCTAGTTTGATCCTTTTTTTAATTTTTTTTGAACTTAAAACATACTCAATATATTACATTAATCATAATAGAAAGTGCCTCCTTTTTTGGGTCTATTTTGAGAGGCTCTAGGCCATGACCTTGTTGGCCCATACCCAGGGTCGACACTGATTCTACCTCTTGAAATTTTTAATTTCATAACAAATGAACTTTTTTATTAATAAATTATAAAATTAATTAATAGTTTTTAATGATGATATAAATTTATTTCAATTAATAATTTGGATAATTTTATCATTATATAAAAGAGTAGTTAAAAAATTTATTTTTTCAATTAATTATATTAAATAAATTTTTTTGATAAAAGAATATTTATAAGTTTTTAAATTATAAAAGGGTAAACTATACTTACACCCCCTAAGGTTTGAGTTTAATACATATCACCCATGACTTTGGAAAATTACACTGATCTCTTGTCATTGTAATTATTTAGATGGAATGAAAATATTGAACTCATACACTCTCTCTTTTCTTACTTTGTTTTACTTTTTCTGTTTTTTTTCCTTTCCTTTATTTTATTTTATTTTTTAATATAATTTTCTCTATTTTTTTATTAAGAGTTGTTACTTTTTATATAAGTAAGAGGATTTGTAAAATGAGATAATTAACTATAGGGGTGAAATGAAAATTTTAAAATCTTAAAGAGTAAAATATAATTAGACCAAATTTTAAGAGATGTGAATGTAATTTATTCTTATAAAAATAATTTATATTTTAAATAAATGTGAAGAAGTGTATATAAATTATTTATTTATTTATTTATTTTGGGTAATGGTCTCATGTTTAGTTCAAAGTTATGATTGGGTGCTAACGACTAGTTTTGCATGTGTCCACACCAACTGACAGTTGTACATTGACGATTCTACAGCAACTCTACGTATACAAATGAGTAATATGCCAGCTCAGATGCTCCACTCCAATCACATACGACAGATGTATATTTAGCATGGTTAATAAGATTAGAGGTGCAATAATGTAGAGTTGTTGGTGCAAAAATAAGCTTTTATCATTTACATTTACCACTTTCGTTATTAATCCACCAACAAAATCCAAACACGTCACCAAAATTTTAAACAACACTGCCAGGTTGTTCTTGTTCTAAGAACCACCTGAATATTCCTCCTAACGCGTATACAGTAGTCTCTCTCGCTCTCTCTCTTGGTGGTGTTGTGGTGGGTACAGTTGCTAGCGTACGCAGGGGTGCAATTGGCGCACTCTAAAAAAGGTCAAAAAAACAAAAAAAGAGAGGGACAGAGAGAGAGTGCGCATCACAGCCATCATCATCGTAGGGAGGTTGTAGGTCGGACGGTGCACCATTCGATCAAAGCCTTTTGTCTCCTCCAATTCGGTAAATACACAAACCATTTTACTCTCTTTCTCTCTCTAGATCTTCCTCCATGGCCGATCTCTCTTCTTATTTTCTCTCTCTTCATTCCTGATCCGGTATTTCCTTCTCTTTCTGTTCTTGTTTTTGTCAATTTTGATTGTTGTTTTCTGATTTTTGATGTATTCTTCTTGTTGTTGTTGTTTTTGTTTTCATTATGAGCAGACAAATCTATATATATATATATTGTTAGGGTTTTCGGATCGATTATTCTTCAATGGCCGCTCCACCTGCAAGGGCTAGAGCCGATTACGATTACCTCATAAAGCTCCTCCTGATCGGAGACAGCGGTACGCGATTCGCATTTCTCACTTTTCAACAAATTTCAGATGTTTTATTTTTGTATGGATCGCCTTCCTGAATTTGAAGATATCGATTGAGTTAGGCATTAAAAAGTTGGTTTTGGGATGGATCTAGTTGGATTCAGATTCTTTGGACATAATTTCGTACCTACATATTCGAATTTATGAGGCAATCGTAGTTTGGATTCATAATCAGGAAAAATAAAAAATAAAAAAAAATTTGCTTGCTGATGTATAGCGCGCTTAGTTTTATAATGGTGATGTGATTTCAACATTAAAGATAAATCAGAAATAAATCTGCTTGCGTTTTTTATTTTTTTAAGCTACTGCTTAATGATTTGAATGTTATTTTGGGGTGTGGTTTTAATTTGCAACCATTATACCTATACCTTCACCATGTGCCAAATTTTGTGGGTTTGTTGTTGCAAATATTGTTTTACTGTTCTGGTGACTGCATCTCCTAACTGGTCTTCTGGTTTTTAATGATACAATAAAATGCACAAATATGATAATGACATCCAATAACTTATTTCACATTTTTTACTCTCCTTTTAGAAATAATTTAATCTATTATAATATCTCGTGATTAGGAAGATGTACTTGTGTATTTAGCATGTTGTACTGTCTACCATGGGGCATGCGATACGCTATTTTTTAGTGCTCTTTGCATTCATTTGGTTATGTGTCTTGCATGAGAAGTAGAGGGTCCTTTGATTGCTATGCTTGGATTGGATGTGGGTGATGGCTGCAAGGCATGAGTGTGCAAGAAAGAGCTAGGGCAGTTATGTAAATCCATTTTGGCAGTAGCAAATGCAAGTGGAAGTGAATCCACCTTCCTGTTCATTATTTTTTATGGGTGCATTATCTGACATTTTGATCCTTTTGACTTGCGTATCTCAATTGTGATTATATTGCCCTGAACATTTAGTGCTTGCTCTTCTTCTTCTTTTTATTAGGCATTAATTCATTGGTTGTATATCCAGGGGTTAGCGATGTACTTTATCTTTTTTGAATATATATCAAGTTGAATATGAGTTCATTGGTTGTCTATCTTTGGGGGTTTAGTGACTCACCTTTTCTTCTCTGAATTTTGTTTCATGTTAACTTAAAGATTAGTTGTTGTGAGCATGTGTAATTGCTAAACTCTTAATCAAGAAAGATGTTTGGATAGGTTTGAGTGTGCAATTTTTTCCTGTTTTAGTTATTCACCATGTCTTTTCCTCAACATTGGCAGCATTATAACAGCAACAGGGTTAATTGTTTGATTACAGTGAGTTATGAGCTTTTATTTGCTAGAATAAATCTTCAAGATCCCATCATGTTTTGCAAAAAAGGATACATCAATTTCAAGATGTATATTTAGCATGGCTAATAAGATTAGAGGTGCAATAATGTAGAGTTGTTGGTGCAAAAATAAGCTTTTATCATTTACATTTACCACTTTCGTTATCTTGTCATGGTAGATTGTTTATTTATATGAAGATCATCATCTCCTATTTCCAAAATTTGTGCCTCATCTTTTCTCCCTTTTACCTTTTGATTGTGCTTGATATGCTAGAATGGGTTGGAATGAAATGTCCATTCCAGTTTTGCATTCTGCTTTATCTTGTTTGGCATGCCTTATTTAAATGAGAGTAGTCATTCCATTGGAATAACCATTCTAGCAAAAAAGTAGGAATACCTATTCCTTCCTCTAGGCTAAGAAATAGATATTTCATTCCATTGTGGAATCAACCTAAAATAGTGTGCCTATTGTTTGCCACCCCAACAATCGCCATAACTATCAGTACCTTTGTTGTTACTACCGTGCCCACCACCCAAATACAGCTACCAACATTGTACTATCGCCTCTGCTACTACCACCGCCGCCGCCACTACCACTACCACTACCACTACCATCACACCACACCACACCATGCTACCATCACTTGTTGTTGTCACTACCACCGACCTATCACCATCGTTACCGCCACCACTACCACAACTATCAACACCATCATTGATCTATAGGTGTTTAATTTTGTTACTAGTTTGGTATTTTTTAAAAAAAATAAAAATAAAAAAAATTCCATCTGCCTTTATAGGTATAGCTAAATATGGTAATGGAAGTATCATTCACTCCTTATGGCGTTCTATGTTTGCAATGAAATGGCGGAATGGAAATGGAGACTTCTATTCAACCTTGTTTTCTTGTCCCACTTCATTCATTCATATTTACTGAACTTACCTAAGGTACATTCTGTTAATTAACTTTGAGAATTCCCTATTGAGTAGTATCGACCTTTTCCCTTTAGCTTTTATGGGTGAATTGGCATTTAGAGTGTCCTTTTCTTTTGGTGTTTTGTGTAGTTGGGTGTCGGAGAGGATGGATTTAGATTTTTTTTATTTTTTGGACTTTGTAGATGATTTGATTGGTTAGGTGTTGCCCCTTTTTTTTGGGGTTTCGTTTTTGTATTCTTTTGCTTCTTCTTGATGCTTTGGAAATAAATTTTATTTATCAAAAAAAAAAAAAGAAGCTTTCTTTGTGTATGTGTGCATGCAAGCATGTGTGGAAGTGGGGCAATCCTCAAATGCCTGTAGGCTTGAAAAATTAGGCATGAGTCTCTTTGGGCATCATATGTTGAATGGGCCAAGGCGTTGTCTAAGGATGGATTTTTTTAATTGTCCTTCTCATGCTTTAGCTCGTGAGGTGTATGCTGCATGCATCTTAATTTTACTTAATATACTTCATATTTTCAAGTACCCTTTTCTTTCTTGTCATTCACTATAAATAATGATATATATAATATGACCGTTATATATTAATGCACATACATGCACACTTGCTGTGTAATGTAACAATATATAATTTCTATGTTTGCTATATTAAAAACTATTTCTTTATTTTTTCATTATTTTGCTATTTTTTATGCATAATGATCATATCTTCAGTGATGGAACAATGAATATTTTCTTTAACTATTCAATTATGTTCTTAGCATGTCCAAGCAATGTTCAAATATATAACTCATTTATTTGGTTCCATTTTACACTGTATTTTGTTTTGTACAGATCTCTCTGAAATATAGAGAACAAAATAATCCTGGGGTATACAAGTATACCTTGAGGTTTATGCCTCTAATTACATGGAGGAAAGGAAAGTACTTCATCTTAGGCAACTGCTACTGAACAGTAGGGGCTGAGCTGGGTTACATGAAATGATTATTCGTTTATCTTCACAGGCTTGAAGTGGTTGCATTTGCAATTCTACATCTCTTATAAGATGAAGTGCTTTGTCAATTGCCTCTGGAATCACAATGTCCAATGAATTGACCTTCATATTAGACTTTATGGTGTGTGTGTGCAGATCATTGGAAGATAATTATGCTATTACATGGTGCTATCTCTATCCTTAGATTTATTGTAGTTGAAGTTTGTTTGTGGAGGAAAATTTTGCTGGAGTGAAATGACTCCATAACGAAATGTTAGGAATTGCTTTTGTTATGTGGGATCGAGTGTTGAACTTGATTTGTGGAGTTTATGAGATCAAATCCTTCTTTTGTCATTGTTGATGCTAGTGTATATCTCCCATTCAGCTATACTACTGATGTAGTGAGAATTGCTATTTAAATGCACATCCTATATTCTGGGCTGAAATTCAACATTGTGATATGATGAATGCTATAGTTTAAATCAGTATTATTAAAGGCGTGCCTAGGCGTGCGCCTAGGCCCAAGTCCCATCTAGGCTCAAGGTTTGCGCCTTGCAGTGTTCCAGGCCAGGCGACTTTGATAAGTTGCGCTTAAGGCATGCGACTAGGCCAAGGCGTAGTAAGGCCGAAGGCTTGTGGCTTGAGGGTTTTGTTTTTTATTGTTGCTTTGATTGGTTTTGTTTGAAATCTGACCATTGATTTAATGTGACATAGTTACAAAAGATCCATACTCTTAAGTACACATGCCAATACATTGGGCAATGGGCATTCAGCCCCAAATCAACGCTAGAAAAAAAATTAGTCCTAATTCCTAATCTCCGAAGAACACTTTGCTGCTGCCTGCCTTCGTTATCTACAAAGTAGCTCCAAATGTCTTCTTCTTCTTACGTTTCTCTCTCATTCTCTTCTCTTCTTCTTCTCTACATTGTTGTCTTCTTTACTTCTCTTCTCTATGTTGCTATCTTCTTCTTCACATGGCTGTAATGTTGTTGCCTTCTTCTTTTGTTTTTTTCAAGTTTCTTCTTCTTCTTCTTCTTTGGACTGATCTATTTTTTTCCCCCTCGTCTTATTCTTCTTCTCCCCTCTCTTCTTTTTCATGTTTTTATGTTGAACTTTGAAATATTGTTTATTTGTCTATGTTAAAATAGTAGTATTTGTTGGTAATTATATTTTAAATGTTTAATATTTGATTTTGCTTATGTTGAACCCTAAATTATTTGCTTATATTAAATTATATTTTTTTTACATACAAGGTGCGCATCACTTAGGTGAAGCCTGCGCCTCGCCTAGCGCTTAGGCCCCAAGAGACCTTGGGGCCTTAGTGCACCTATCGCTTTTAATAACACTGGTTTAAATGCTTAGAAAAGGATGGCCCATGCAATGTGTGACTTGTTAGCACGGGCTTGTGTGTACTGTCTACCATGTTCCTAGTTTTTCTGGAGAGCATAATGGCAACTTGAAAGTGTAGTACATATGTGTTTACTGTATCTGTAGTTGCAAATAAGTTGATGTGATTATGAGTACATAACTCTGAGATTTTGAAATATACTCCACTCCTAACTCAATAATTGTTGTTACCTGTTTCTCTTGACCTGCTTTACAGGTGTGGGTAAGAGTTGCCTTCTCTTGCGTTTCTCTGATGGTTCCTTCACCACCAGTTTTATCACTACCATTGGGTGCGCACTCTCTGACATCCAAAGTTAAATGTACAATCATTAGTTTTTCTTTCTAAGGAATGTGCTTCTAACCTCTTTGAGTTTATTTTCCCTGTGCAGCATTGATTTCAAGATAAGAACCATTGAGCTTGATGGAAAAAGGATTAAACTCCAAATATGGGATACAGCTGGTCAGGAACGGTTCCGAACAATCACCACTGGTATGTACAATTTTCTAACAGGTATAGGTGGTGAATGCTGTCTTCCCTATACCCATTTGTATTACATTGAGAGATAGTAGTGGGTGAAAATCATTGAATCTCTCATTTTTTACCTGTTAATTTCTTCCCAGTTGAGGATCAACTTCTGCATGTAACCTTCAGTTTCTCATGCATCTGTACCAAACATTGGTCTGAGAATTGTTAACTTTTCGTTAGTGTGTTAATTAGATAGCAGCTAGCATGTCCCATCTAGTTTGAGATGTTAAATTGTAAGACCATTCCAGTGGATTGTCTTTCTTATAGGTTTTAAAATATCAGATCCTAGGTATTGTTAAGATGTCAGGCGCATATACCAAGTTAGTAAATTATGCATCCTTCATGCTGGTATGCCCTTGAGTGATTCTGTCACTAGATTGACACATCTTTGTGGTTTGTCTTGCTTTATGTGTGCTTCACATAAGCTACTTCCATTTAAGTGTTTTATCTTTTTATATTTGCAGCTTACTATCGCGGAGCCATGGGTATTTTGCTGGTGTATGATGTTACAGATGAATCATCTTTCAACAGTAAGTATATGATTTAGGTGTCCGTGTTCTTCTTCCTTCACATCTCTCTCAATTTGAAAGGTTTTTTGGAACTTAAAAATGTTAGATGGCCAACATCTCAAAGATTTGTCTGTTAATCTGTAAGCTTCATGAAACTCTACCACTTTGGAATCTTTCCCACAATATTTGGTGCAAAATTAAAAGTGCTTGCCTATGAACGTTGTCTAGTGTCACAGATGAATGTTTCAAAATCTGCAATGGTTTGCAGAAATACCATCATAAGGTTGTTTTGATTTATCAACTGATTGGTAAAAAATCTTGCCTCCCACTGTTTTCAGACATTCGGAACTGGATTCGCAACATTGAGCAGCATGCTTCTGACAATGTCAACAAGATATTGGTAGGGAACAAAGCTGACATGGATGAAAGCAAAAGGGTATGTTTTGTTTATTACGTCACTTCAATTGCTTCAGATTTCCATTCAGCTCTTTGCATATGTAAGTTTGCTTATGAACCCCTCACACCGAGAATTGTGTCCCTAACCATTTATTATTATTTATTTATTTATTTTGTAGGCTGTGCCAACCTCCAGAGGCCAAGCACTTGCTGATGAATATGGCATCAAATTCTTTGAAACTGTAAGTATGACACACTAGAATTCTTCAAAAATTTGTTAGTAATATCTTTTTACTTATTTAAGATTCTGTTCATTATTGCAGAGTGCAAAGACGAATCTGAACGTTGAGCAAGTCTTTTTTTCAATAGCTAGGGATATAAAACAAAGGCTTGCCGACACTGACTCCAGGGCAGAGGTATTTGAATCACATCCTATTTGTGAAGAAACAATATTTGTACTTTTGGGATCACTGTTATGAGTGCTATAAACTTATTTTGTTATTTTTATTATTTTTTTTCCAGCCTCAGACTATCAAGATCAATCAACCAGACCAAGCAGGTGTTGGTGGTCAACTTGCGCAAAAATCAGCTTGCTGCGGTTCGTAAACAAACTAGATATTGCAGGAGTGATAGCACGTATTGGAGGCTACACTTAGCAGGAAAAATCGAAAGAAAAAAAACTAATTGCGATGGTAATTTGATGGGGGTTGCTTGTAATTTTTCTTATTGTCATTCTTTTCCAAAAACTTGTTTTTAGCGTGTGAAAGATAGGGTTATTATTATTTCAGAAATTTTATCTTGTTGCAGATACTTTTCTTGTTTTTCCGCAGCTACAGCTTTTAACTTATTTTGTTTGGCGTGTTAAATTCTATACGTTAACGTTAAATGTTGCCATATGCTCTGTAGAAATGCAAGTAATAGAAGCAGTGTTCCTTACGTAAAGGGAGTTGCTTAGAAGTCCCGTTTTCTGTTTCCCCTAAATTATGATGAAATTAATCATGTGATCAATATGTGATTAAGTCCCTATATCTAATTTCATGGCAAAATTTTAATTGGTTTTTGAATCAGATGTCTATCTCAGGCGGAACATTTAACTGCTATTTAATGTTCACAACCGGTTTCACATAACTCGGTTTTGTGATGCAATGCCACCACTATTCTAGCTGATTTTGGGAGAGATTAAGTCCTGGAATTCCATAAATATGTTTCTGTTGACGAATGTCGGTTAGGTGGTTTTTTGTTTTTTGTTTTATTTTTTTATTTTTTATAGTCAAATGGCTGTATGGGACATTTTTTATGTGGGTGTTTTGCATGTTTCATGTTTGTGTTCCTAGTATATTATGCTTGTACTATTGCTCATTCTGGATCATTGTTTTCCTAGAAAATGCTTGTCTTTATTTGGTCATACTACCGATCGATCGATCGGGACTGTCCAATTGTTTTTCAGTGATTTGTGTTGCTTTCCTTCCTACATCGTGCCTTACCAGTTTAAAAAATGTTGTTCGGTTGCTTTGCCAACTTTATTGGTAGAGATTAGGAAATGGTACAAAACAAATATGGAACGTATGTGTTTGTTTTTTCATCAACCCTTTCTTCTGTTTTTTTAGGAGTAAATCACAATGAATAGCCTTGAGATTTAAAAAAATCAAAATTAATATCATAATTTTGGCATAATCACATTTGTAAGCATATAAAAATAAACAAGAGTAAGATATAGTATGTATTTAGTTTAAAAGGAAATAACTATAATTTTTCAGATTACATGTTATGTTGAATCAAAATATCAAGAGAATCCAATATAATTATATAACTTATGTGCTCAATTTATTTTACCCTTCCTATAAAAGATAAATTATGAGTTATGTTAGGGGTCTTAAATAAATTATCAAATATTTTACAAAACCTCTTATATAGGTGTAGGACCTACACACGTGATTTGTGTAGGTCTCACACCCATATGAGAGGTTTGATAAAAAATTAATAATTTATTTGAGATCCATAGCATTTTTCATAAATTATTAGGACATGCCTAGACATTTCTTGCCATCCCAATATTGGACTGTAACATGCTAGAATGAGTAATTGGCTTAAACTGGCAAGCAAGGAACAAATTTTGACCTCAAAAGGCTTACGAAGTTTCGAACAAATTTTCTATATTGAGTTTAATTTTCAATATCTTATTAATTTAGAAAAAAGATCAAAAAAAAAAAAAAAAAACTACAAATTAGTTTGGTAAATATATAAAAAAAATGAAAAACACTCATCGTTTTCATTTGATTTCCAAAAAATGAAAAACACTCATCGTTTTCATTTGATTTCCTCTTTTTTGAACAAAAATTCCTTTTTGGTATTTATTTTCATTAAACTAATTTATATTTATGAAAAGGGTAAATTACACTTTGCTCCCTTTATATTTGGCTATTTTCCTACTTTGGCTCTTAAAATTTATTTTTTTCCTCACTTTGACCTTTTATGCTTTAAATTTTTCTCAATTTACTTGTAAGGCTAGGGGTGATGAATAAACAAAACAAAACAACTCAAGCTCAACTCGTGTTAGGTTTGTTAAAAACTTGTTCAAGTTTGGTTCATTAAATAAACAAGTCAAACTTAAACACATTTTAAAGCTCGTTAAGATTTTTAAAGCAAACTTGAATAGTTAATTGCTTGTTCGGTTCGGTTCAATAAGTCTAAAATTATATAAAATATCAAATTACTCGAGTTGGCTCGATCAAAACTCATTTGAGATCGGCTCGAAAGTTTAACAAATCAAGCTTAAACAAATTTTGAAGCTCATTAAAGTTATTAAACCAAGCTTGAACAGTTAACTGTTCGGCTCATTCGGTTCATTTATCACTCTTACATAAGGCTGGCTTATGTAAAAAATTAATCAAAAAATGACACATTAAAAGCTATGCAACATAAAAATATTTTATTACATATAATTTACACCTCTTACACAAACTCAAACTTTAATATAATAATATTTTTATGTCATGTGATAGCTAACATGACATTTCTATTTAATTTTGAACATAAATTAATTTTAAGAATAAATTGGTAAAATTTGAAATATGAATGGTCAAAATGAAAAGAAAAAAAAAATTAAAGTGCTAAAGTGAAAAAAAGATTAAACATAAACGGGGTAAATTGTAATTTACCCCTAAGAAAAAGAAGAGAAAAAAAGAATGCTAATAGCCTCCACTTTTTTTTCTTTTTTTCTTAAGACTCCATTTTTCTAAACCTCCACTTATAAAATTTGAACATTGATAAAATTTTATAGAACCCCCACATAATACCAAAACAATATCTCATTCAAAACATTGCACATCCACCTAAGCTGCACACCACCTAAGCTGCCATTACAACCTCATACCGGTTTTCCCTCAGTATTTCATTAGCACAAAGTTCATAAACAAATGAGAGTGAGGAAAAAGAAAAGAAAATCTTGCATCATGACAATCATTATCCTAACCTAAGAAAACTGACCAAAAACTACAACGAGATTTTATAAAAATGTCCAGAACACGGGTATATTTGGTTGAGTCTAGAAAATTTATTTTTTGAAAAATTCTCAAAAATTAGTTTGGTAAAAAAAAATTTAACAAAAACTATCATTTTGACATGATGTTCTCTTGTTGGCAGAAATAATTTTTCACAATCTCTTCCATCACTTTCGGCTGATTATTGAAGATATGAATAAATCATGAAAATGGATGATGAAGATAGATTAATGAGAATGGTTTTATCAAGAAGATGGATTATGAAAGATGTAGGTACTCAAGAACACAATGAGAATTAATAAGAATGATAGACTATTAGGATTGGGTGTTCAATTTGATTTGATAGAGTCGAGTGTTATTTTCGTGAAAGTTGGTGTTCTATTTCAATTTGTGTCTATTACAATAATTTTAATTGAGATTATAATTATTATTAAAAAAAAATATCAATAAATGGGATGTTTAGAAAAAAAAAAAAAGAGGCTATGAGCGCCGCCCAAAAAAAAATTTAAAAACCAAACCAAACGGAGTGGGAGTCATGTTTGGCAGCAAAGGTGTTAGTCACAGAATTTCAATGGAAGCATTTAGGCAAAAATTTTCTCCGCTAACTATACCACCATTATAAATTTAGACTTATGAATTCAGAATTTATTCAGAAAAAGAAATCAATGATTCAAATTCATTTTATTCATAAACGCCACACTTCATTAATTTAATCTCCCCTATATAAACATATTTAGAGTAAATTATGAATTAATAAGAGTAGTAGGTTCATAGTTTTTTGCTCTAACTCATAGCAGGGCTGAACAAGGCAGTACCTATGATTAATCAAAAGTGAAGAATTCTAGTGAAATATTCTGGTGATATATGTAACAAAGAAATTCTCTAGTACATAATGTTCCTTAATTACGACTTTTGAGAAATTTAGTGAAGATTAGATTTAGGTGTTAGTTATGAATTGTGTATATATCTTTGAGAACTTTGGACCTATTGGGATATTTGTTAGGACTTGGTCATCCAATGTTAATCATGACTCATTATAATGTTAATTGTAACATTATTTTCATTATGATGCAAAAGCTATTTAGTTATGCTTTATGTGATGATTGATTATAAACTCATTATTTATTTATTTAGTTATAACTTTCATAAGATTGAGTTATGATATTTGTGATAATCATCCTCCCAAATGTCATAACTTATTATATATGATACACACCTTTTTTGCATTACCCGTTATAACAATTCTTTTTATTTACTATGTGATTTGTTATCATCACTATCCTGAAAACAAATATTGATAATAGGACCTATTAAATCTCTACAATAATAATACAAAATAATAAATATAGCACAAGATCTTCCAAATAAACTACTACTTTTTTCGATTTTTGTCTTTGTGACCTTTTTTTTAATAAATTATGTTAATTTTTTTAACTTTCCCAATAAATAAATCTAAAAAATAAATTTTCTTTTGAAAAATTTAAAAAAGAAAGCAAAAATAAGCTAAGAAAGCCTTTTAGCTCATTTTTTTACTTTCTGTTTTTTTTAAAGAATTCAATTCATCCCGTCAAGTAGAATTTAAAGCTTCAGATTTTTTTTTTTAATTTAAAAAAATTTCACAAAAGACAAAAATAAGCTTTAAAAAAAAAAATACTTAAAAAGCAAACTGTGAGGACCCAATGATGGTATGATTGTTGTAAAATATATACAATAATAATATAAATTCAAACTTAACTACCTAAAAATTATGCATAATTATTCTATAATAATTCAGATTTATTCTACGTATAAATTTCATGTTATATAAATATAATTTTTATCACACAACCAACCATCCATCCGGAAAAATCTTGTAGATAAGTGGATTCCCAGACTTGTTGAAACATATAAAACATCCAACCAAGTTGAGCAATTAACAAAGCGTCTTTTCCGATGCACCTAAAAAAAACAATTAACAAGGCAAAAACTTAAAAGATAAAAAAATAAATAAACAAAGAGAAGGAAGACAAAAGCAACAGGGTTAACTGGAGATCTAAAGATGAGATCTTTACCAAGGCAAATTCCATTAAAGGACTTCCTAAGTTAACAAAAGACAAAGCAGAGAGCATTTGCCAGAATAAAGTGGATAGCATTTTCGGTAGAATAAATACGCTGTGGCTAAAATATATATATATATATATATAGGGTCACAAATAGTTCTAAAGGAAAGATTTCCATGGGACACATAAGGAAGGACCCTACAAGATACAAGACTCTGCATTGCATAAATAGACAGAGAAACACACTTGGTTTTCTTCTTCATTGATATTTTAGCCTCTCTAAACCAGAATTACCCCATTTTAAAGCAACCAAATGCCAACAACATTACCAAAAAAAAAAAAAATTTCAGATCTCCCATACCACGCAGTATTTCATAAATAGCATATTTTAACAAAAATCAGAATTTGCTTCTATGCACATTAAAGAGATTACCTATCTTACATTTCCACAAGAAGCTCATCATCGGTTTTAAAACTACAGATTCAGTTCATCCTTTCCATATATGCGTTGAAGCTCACGACTTGCTGCTTGAAATGAATCTGAGGAAGAGCGAAATAGGTAGAGAATTAATCGAGAGAGAGAGAGAGAGAGAGAGCACCTAAACTTCATGAATGCCTAAAGAGAAAAGAAAAAAAGAAACTTAGGCTGTGTTTCGTTCATGGATTTGGGTTCCCTTTCTCTTTTCAAATCCCTACCAAAGCATTATCACAATCAAACAGTTTCTCACCTTTCCAAATACGGAAGGACTTCTGATTAATTGGTGACCCAGTTACAGTCTGAACAGCATCAAACAACTGACTCTCAGGGGTGTTCTTCAACTCTTGGACTATCTGGTAAATAGTCTTCCCACTTTCAAAGTATATGTGATTGTTTGGGTGTTTTGTTTTGCAACCAGCATGACGCTCAAACTCATAACCATTTAGCACCTTACAAAATCCATGAGTCATCAGTTAGGTCCAATTCCAGAGACTATCGGGAAATATATATATATATATATATATATTTGATAATACCTTGTTGAAATTGCATGCTTGACATCCACAAAGATAGCCTGAACCTTTTATAATTCCACGGAGCTCCTTATTACATATGCAAGAAGAAATCGAGTCACTAGACAGCAAATTTACAAGAAATGAACACAAAAGAACAGAAATTTACCTCCCGTGACAAACAAACATACTTCACAGGCACTCCATCAAGCATACCAGTTGATATCAAGCTTCTAACATTTGAAGGGAAACTGTTTGGAGCCACATTCCTACCCACTTTAACCTCTGACTTATTCTTAGACACAGACTGGGGTTTAGATTTAGCTACCTGAGAGACACATGCAACTGCACTTGCACCAATGTCTGAGTTATTGTCAAGTGTTTCTGATGCTTGAACAGAAGATTGATCATTTAACAACTCATAGCTGTTCAAGGGCTCACAGCTGTTCAAGGGCTGAGCCAGTGTGTCAATATCAGGTTCCTCATGAAAGCCACCAAAAGCTATAGTATTAGTGTCTCCCTTATTATAGAAGTGACTGATTGATATGCTATTGTCATCCGCCTTTTCAAAGGCAGAGCTCATGGATTTGATGTTGGAATTGCCTTTGTTGTAGGTCTGACCCATTAACATCACACTTTCATCCTCCTTACTGTAGCCCTGCCCCATTGATATGAAACTGGTTTCATTTCTCGGGTTATAGGCCTGACCTATGGACATGGCACTATTATGTTCCTTTGGTGCATGCAAACTGTTGTCAAAGTCCTTAACCTGATTGACTTTAACTTTTCTAATTCCACCATAGCTAAGACATGTTTCTGGGTCATCCATATTATGAAACATAGACAAACCCACAGATGACTCATTTCCATACTGCTCATTGATACCCTTTTTCCTCATATTTGAGTCATCTGTACCAACAAGGAAAATGTTTTGCTCTGGAATGTTTGTCTCACCTCCAAATAACCGGTCCATGAATTGACTTGGGACTGATGGAAAACTGGCAGCACTCTCCCAACGAGAAGCATTTGCATGTAAAATTCCTGTGGTTGATTTGCTATTTGCAGCTTGTACTGCTTGCTTCTTGTTGGGGAATAGCTCTGGTTCAGAACCATCAGCAAACCAATGATGAGAACGCTTTGGTTCAATCCTTGATGGGTCATCATATGTTGTATCCCCAACATTTAAATGTCCCCCACCCTTTCCCATCCAAAATCCCTTGTTCCGGAAAGACTGCCAGAGACAATCACTTAGAATAACAGAGATTTGGTTTATTCTAGAACATAGCTAAATTTCAACAGATAAACTAAAGCCCTTAAAATTGATAAATTTATCATCACAGAGAGAGAGAGAGATATCACACCCTGAAAAGTAAGCATATCCATAAATGGATGTCCGAATGAGTAAGACATTGTGGGTTGGTATAGTATGCATGTCAAACAATAGAGAACACGAAGAAGTTTGTAGATAAAAATGGGAGAAGTCATGTTCTTGGGTTTATGTTAAAAAGGAGTGTCACGGGTTTTGAGAATAAAGGCTTTGTGCTCCTTATATGATCAATGCAAATGGCAATGATGTGCTCATGATAACCTCTTCCAAGAAAAATAAGTCCTGTGATTTAGTTAAAAAATAACAATAATAAGTCTGTTAAAAGCATATTGAAAACAGAAAAACAAGAAAAACATGCCCAGACTAACTTCGTCATAGATGTTCAAGAATATCACAAATACACAGTTACAATTCTACCAAAAAATGAATATATATGAGAGTAGTAGGCCTCATAATTGTAATCTAGGTGATCTCCTCTATTATGCTGCAATCAGTTCATCATAGTAGCATAGCATTCATGCACGTGATTTTATTTTTTGAGTAGCAATGAAGGGACATCAATGAACTTCTTGCAACATAACTATGACTAGATTGTATTCATCATAAGTCAGATAGGAACCTTTGATGTTTTGATCATCTTCATTTTAGAACAAGTAGGGATAAATTATACAGCCATCTTGTATAAGTCGATGCCATTAAACTTCAGCAAGCATTCTTATGTAAGCAAAAGTTTTGGGCGTCAAGTGTTATAAAGACGGTTCAACTCTGTGAGGCAGACACATTTTAGAAATAATTTCTATGAATAGGTCAGCACCTAAGTCATTCCTCCCAGCACCTCACTTTGGTAAGAAATGGAAACTTAAACCAACCTGTCTAGAACCACCCTTAATGGGATGTGGATGGGGTGGTAAAAACTGAGCCATGGGCAGAGCAATAAACATTCTCACTGCCCTAGTTATTGAAATAAAATAGAGACCTCGAGGTCTCTGCAAAGGCAGAAACCAAACCCCCAATTCTTTACCCACTCTAGCCATAAGAGCAAAAGCATTTCACAAATCATAATCAGCACACAACCAACCCTGATCATTACTGATTACTCTACCAAGACAATGGTCAAGTATTTAGGACCCTTTCCTTTCTTCCCCATTAAGCTATAATTTCACACTAGAAAAGAAAACATGCCACATCTTAGAATTTAGGAAGGGCTAGCCATGTATTCAATGATATTGAAGGATTAATCATGTGCTTGATATCTTGGAAAAGGTTTCTTAATTACATGAAATTGTACGATATTTCAAATGCATGCTCGTGAGTACCTAAAAAGTACCAATATCCAATGGGCTTTAAAGCATCCATACTGTTTAACATATATATCGCATGACACTATTAAGAAAATAGGCGCCAGTGTACTTTCACACCCCCAAAAGTAACACCCTCCTCCACTCAACACATTATCACCTTCACCCTGCAACCCCAGTACCAATCAATTTTACTATAAATCGACCTGATTAAAAAATATAGAGTGCACAGATGAAGAAACTACAAATGCATCATAGCTAAGACCCATGAATAAAATACCACTGGAAGTAACAACCTGTAACCAAACATCATAATGCCATTTGTACATACATACACTCAAAGATGGATAAAAGAATATATATATATATATATATATGTATATGGGTATTCACAACAGAAAACAGGACAATAAATTTATGTTAAACCACAACTGTGAAGCATCATAAAACACCATTATCACGACACACACAGACTGTCATCATCATCATCATCACAACAATCAAATAATAAAACTAATAAAAGATCGTTATTTTAAGTTTCATAAAAGATTTAGAACAAACCATTTTGCAGTTTCGAGTTCAATGAGTGTGATTGCAGCGAAATACAACACCTTTCAGAACAAGAGTGTTCGAAAGTACCAATGACGAAAACCCCGAGCGAGCTTAACCCACGCAAGCGAACGACAAAACCCACATTGCCTGCAAAACCAAACCCTAGAACTTAAAATCCACCGGAATTTCACAAAAAAACAAACATCGTTTCACACAAATTTCACTTACAATCAACAAAAACCAATCGATCACAACAAAAGGTTGTTCAAGTTGATAATGCGAGTTTCATAGATGAATCAAATAGTCGAACCCTAACCCTAAAATTGGGGGTTCAGAGATGATCCATACCTTCGATAATGGAGGAAAATTTGCACCGGCCTTTCGTTTGCGGTGTTGAAATCAATACCGGCGGCGAACACCCGGCGATCGAGGAGAGAGAAGGGGGGTTAGATTTTGTGGTGGAGAGAGAGTGGTTGATATTGTGTCTGAGTAGTACTCGATTTTTGCTCGCGAAAAGGTCATAATATAAAAAAATAAATAAATTATACTTTGCCCCTTTATGTTTGGCTATTTTCTCACTATGACCCTTAAAATTCATTTTTTTTTTCCACTTTGATATTTTATGTTACAAATTTTTCTCACTTTACTCCTATAACTATTTAAAGTCTAAATGGTTCAACGTTTCAAAAACTAGGACTTATGGGTAAATTTTTCTCTTTTTTTTTGCATTTTGACCCTTTATTTTTAATTTTTTTCCACTTTTCTTCTAAAGTTAACTCCGGTTCAAAACTAAATAAAAAATATCACAATAACTATCACATAATATTAAAAATATATTATTATATTAGAATTTAAGTTTATGTTAGAGGTGTAAGTCATATATAATAGAATATTTTTATGCTCCGCAATTAATAATGTCATATTTTCTATCTAATTTTTAATAGAAATTAACTTTAGCAGCAAAGTGAAAAAAATTTAAAATATAAAGGACCAAAGTGGAAAAAAAAAACAAACTTGAAAGACCAAAATGAAAAATTGACTAAATATAAAAGGCAAAATATAAAGGGCAAAGTGTAATTTAACCTATATATATATATATATATATATAACAGAAAATTATAGCACAGTGGGAATAAGAAAAAAAATTACAAAAATATATTAGGTGCAAGTAATTCTGTGATGAAGTGTAACCAAAATATGAGAGTGCCAGTGTGACTTACACCCTTCTATATTTGTGTAAAAAAAAATTTATATCTTAGTGTAATGTAATTCCCTCATTATTATTATTATATAATATAAGAAAAAAAAGTTGTTGGCTCAATCAATTTAAAACCCTCAATTCAATTTTTTGCAGATTTTTAAATTAATAAAATATAAAAATACACGTGTCATGAAATTTTGGTCCTTGCACTTTAATTTAACTATTGACCTTTCAATTATTATGATAGTGTCGTTTGGAAAGTGGGTTGACTTTTTAATTTTTTGACTTTTTTACTATTTTAGGCTAGGCTAAAAAGCTTAGGCACCGTTTGACAATGCAAATTGGGGCTATTTTAACCATTACGGGACAAAAGAGGTTAAAGTAGCCAAATGGAGACAAAAGCCACTGCAATTGATTGGCAACAACCCACTTCAAAGTAAATTTACCAAACTTCCCCCACATGAAAAACCACAAATAAAAACAAATTATTGTATACAAATAAAAATAAAAATGACAAAAACGTAAATTAAAAAAAAAGAACCACAAAAATACGACTCATCCACAAAAAAAAGTAAAAAATGAAAACATAAAAACAAAAATTAACATTTGCCACGTAATTTACAAATATCATAAACACATGAAAACCCATTTTTGAAAAATAAAAACAAATTAATGTATACAAATAAAAAAAAATGACAAAAACGTAAATGGAAAAAAAAAGAACCACAAAAATACGCCTCATCCAAAAATTAGCATTTTCCACGTCATTTAAAAAAAAACATAAAAAATCATTTTCCAAAAACAAAAAACAAATTAAAACAAAAAAAAAACCGAAATTATCATTTTTCAGATCATTTGAAAAAAAAAAAAACATAATAAAGCCTTTTCCAACATAAAAAACAAATAAAAAACAACAACAACAACAAAACACATTAAAATGAAACTAAAATAAGCATTGTCAACATCATTTAAAATTAAAAAACAAGAAAAAACATTTTCAAAAAAAAAATTAAACAAAATAAAAAGTCAATAAAATGAAACCGAAATTAACAGTTTCCACGTCATTTCAAAAAAAAAATGAAAAAGCCTTTTCCAAAATAAAAAAAAACAAATTAATATATATATAAAAAAAAGAAGACAACAACATAACACCCAAATTTACATTTTCAACGTCATGTTAAAAAAAAACAAAACATAAAAAAGCTTTTTCCAAACCCCCCCCAAAAAAAAGCAAATTGAAAACAATAAAAAAAAATGATAAAAACGTAAATGAAAAAAAAGAACCACAAAAATACGCCTCATCCAACCAAAATAAATAAATAAATAAATTTAAAAACAGAAATTAGCAGTTGCCACATAATTTTAAAATAAATAAAACACATGAAAAACCATTTTTGAAAAATAAAAACAAATTAATGTATACAAATAAAAATAAAAATGACAAAAACGTAAATTAAAAAAAAAAACCAGAAAAATACGTCTCATCCAAAAAAAAAAAATAGAAATTACTATTTGCCACGTAATTTACAAATAAATAAAATACATGAAAACCCATTTTTGAAAAATAAAAATAAATTATTGTATACCAATAAAAATAAATAAGACAAAAACGTAAATTAAAGAAAAAGAACAAATTAATGTATACAAAAAGAAAAATGACAAAAACATAAATTAAAAAAAAAACCATAAAAATATGGCTACCCCCCCCAAAAAAATCCGCACCAATGATGCTGACGTGGAGGATGTATGGCAAGGAGTAAAAATATAAAAAATCACTTCAAGGGCAGTTTGGTTATTCACCATGAAGACACCTCACCAAAAAATCAAAAAAATCAAAAAGCCTTTCCCAAATCAGGCTTTTTAGCCTCAGGCTAAAATAACCAAAAAAGCCAAATAGCCAAAAAGCTAACCCACTTCCCAAACGGATTTGGGAAAGACTTTTTTGGCTTTTTTGTGAGAGAAGAGTGTAATAATTATGGGTTGAATGTGATATTTTGTTTTTTGTGGTTAAAATAACCTATTTTATTTTTTTTGACTAAAATAATTTATTTTGTCTTTTGTGACTAAAATAACTAAAAAAGCCCCAAATAGCTCTTCCCAAACGGAACCGATAATATGTTTCAAATTTTAAAATTATCACCATTAATTAGAAAGACTAATTAATTAGTTCAGATTAGCTTTCCTTTTAAGTATAAACAATAGGCATGTATATTACAGTAATCTTGCACAAAATCATTAAATAGTAACGGTGGTACTATATGTATTGATTAGTGTACTAATTTATGTATCAACACTAGTTATGACATTATTATTGACCCCACTTATTATACAAATTACAAATATCAATTTTTTTTTAAATTATGTCACATCATCAATTGGTACACTAGTTGATACATATAACATTATTCTTATAGTAATCTTGAACAAAATCATTAATTAGGAAGAGAGCATCTAAATTATAATAATCTGACACAAAGTGGTGTTTTGAAAAGTTAGTAAAAACTTGATTTTTTATTTTTTTTGACTTTTTAATGGTTTTTTTGGCTAAAAAAACTAACTTTCTTGTGATTTTTTTGTGTAAAAAAATTAAGAAGTCAGAAAATTAACTTTTTACCAAGTTTCCAAATTGCTCATCAAATACTAATTCATTGATTCTGTTTAATATCCATTTAAATACAAATAATATGCACGTTCAGAGAGTATTACAATAATGTTACACAAAATCACTAATTATAAAAGAATAATATCATATGTACTAATTAATATACTAATAGATGATATGATATAATTTTAGAGGTTTTGAGTATTTATAATTTGTATTTAGGTGAGGTCAATAATAATGGCATAACACTAATTGGTACACTAGTGTGTACATTAATTAATGTATATAGCATCACTAATTATAAAAACTAACGGGGGTGCTACATGCATCAATTAGTGTACTAACTAGTGTACCAATACTAGTTATAACATTATTATTGACTCCACTCATTATACAAATTACAAATACCAAAAACCTCTTAAATTATGCCACATCATCAATTGATACACTAATTAATGCATATAGCATTATTCAAAAACTAATTCATTAATTCAATTTAACCATCATTTAAACAGTAACTATATATAATCCAAATGACAATTATATTATAATAATCATGACTCTTTTTAAGGAAAACCAATCATACAATCTCACACTTGCATTTCATAATGTAAATAGTTCCTCATGCGATAATACATTAATCCGACAACAAGTAAATGAACAAATAAATACCCCAAAGGTTCACAAGTTTCCAAAGCTTAAGCCCAGTTACACATAACGGTTATTCAAACCCACACATACAAAGCCCTTGGCTTACAAATAGAATCACAGTAAATGAGAACCTTGCGCTCTCAACACACACACTTTTCCACGCCCTCAGTTAGCCGGATTCACCATGTCTTTTCCTAGACAAAAATCCTGTAGGATGAACATAAAGCCCAGTAGGAAATCCTTTACAAAGTATATACATTTTATATAAATCTCAAGAGATGAATATATATGTCATGCTATGCCTTTTTATAGATAAATCACATCTTCATCTTTTGAAAACCATTATGCTCAATGATGCCATGCAATTTTCATTGTTCAAAACTTAACAATTTAACTTAAAGGGTAGTAAATACAACTCTAGTAATCCCTATGTCTGTGTCTGCAAGTAGACTATGTAAGTACTATCAATTTGTCATTTTTACCAGTATCAACTGGAAGGCTCGACACCTGTAATTTGTCATTTTTACCAATATTAACTGAAAGGCTCGACATCTATAATCTACACCACCTTTCAAGACTTACCACCGTATTTACCCCAAAACAATTTCATGAAAACTTGTTTCTCAACATTCTTTTCTAAATGCAAGGTTTTCAAATCAAATTTCAAAGCTCCTCATTATTAAATGAATTGATATGCCAATACAATGGTTAATAATATAATGCAATATTTCTTTGACTTTCAATACTCCCACACAATATTCTCATTGTGATCAAAATTCTAATTTCTCATTTCAATGCAATTTCACAAGATGAATAAATATTTTTATTTTAATTCATCCAAGGGATAACATAATTCCCATATTTCAAACAATCTTAACAATTTAGTCATCTCAAGACTATATTAATACTTTTAAACAACAATTTTCAAAATTTCAACAATTTCCATATTCCATGAAAACATCATTTATATGTAATAAATTAACAATTTTCTAACATCATTTATTTTGGCACACAAAATAAATATAACAACATCTTCCAAAGATTTTCAACATCTTTCT